CCTTCTCCAGCCCCACTCCAGCCCCTCTCCATCCCCCCTCTAGCCCTTCTCCAGCCTCCTCCAGCCTCTCTCCAGCCCCCTGCCCCCCTCCAGGCCCTCTCCAGCCCCCCGCCCATGTGTGTGCCCATGTGTAGGAGGGCCAGGCACGCAGGCTGCGTGGGTGGCAGCGGGCAGGGTGCACAGTCAGTGAGCCCCGTTCCCAGCTCCCTGCCAACTTAGAGGGTCAGAGACTTGGAGGCTGCTGTGCCCCCATTGTGGTATGGCAGGGGGTGCATGGGGAAGGGGCAGGGGCCGCTCTGGGGAGGCCAAGGCGCCGGAACTTGCGTTAGACCTAGCCACTGCCTGGTGTGGCCCGAGGGCTCGTCCGACATTAGCCTCCCCGGGAGGGTCCAGCTCCTGCTGTCGTGGGGCCACCACATCACTCCTTCTACATGCGGTTAAGATCGGGGTGGGGAGTGATGTGTGGAGACACCGTGCTCCCGCTGTCAGAACGCCTGTCTTAGAGCACGCCCGTTCTCTGTCCACCAGGACTTGTTTTTCAAGTACACCTGGAATAACTTCTTGCACTTCCAAGTGGAACTGTGCATAGCGGCCATCCTTTCCCATGCCGCCCGGGAAGACAGAGCAGACGCCGGCGAGCCTGTGAGCCAGGCGGAGCCAGCACCCGGGAACGGGACCCCCAAGGACCCCCAGCCTGCAGCCGGCCGCCCTGAAGACACACTGGTGACCCACGTGAGTGCAGCCCCTGGGCCCCCTGTACCACCCCACCCCTCCCCAGCCAAGGCCATCTGGGGCTGTGTGAAGAGGGGTGACAAGGACGTGGACACCTGCTTTCTGCAGCCAGCGTTCGTTGGACACACGGGCAGTCTTCCTCTGACCTCACGTGAGAGGACACCAAATCACAAGGCAGCATCAGGGCCTGTCTGGGTCACAGCCTGGAGAGGGACAGGGCAGCCCTGGACATGCTGTGAGCAGCGCTGGCCAACCTGGCGCCTGGGGGATGGCTCACTGTTCTGAGGTTGCCACAGGGGAAGCCCGGAGGGGAGAGCGATGGGTCAGGGTCTCATGAAAAAACTTGGGGCTTAAAAACAGTGCCTGTGGACCCAGGGCCTGGCCTACTTCCTGCATCCCGTCTGCCCCCTCACCATCACACCTGCACACGAGGCCTCCCCCTCACCGTCACACCTGCACACAGGGCCTCCCCCTCGCCGTCACACCTGCACACAGGGCCTCCCCCT